AGTGCACCTGGCTTCAAGTTGCAAAATTACCTCTTGTCATAAATATGTGTTAAGTTTATTTTGTCGTTGATGATAACCAATTTGCATACGTGGATGGTCTGCCCGATTACCAGGTGAATTTAAGATGAACTATGTGCTGGGCGTGGTGGCTCACGCCTGTAATCCCAGCACTTTGGGAGGCCGAGGCGGGTGGATCACGAGGTCAAGAGATCGAGACCATCCTGGTCAACACGGTGAAACCCCGTCTCTACTAAAAATACAAAAAATTAGCTGGGCATGGTGGCGTGTCCCTGTAATCCCAGCTACTCAGGAGGCTGAGGCAGGAGAATTGCCTGAACCCAGGAGGCGGAGATTGCGGTGAGCCGAGATCGCGCCATTGCACTCCAGCCTGGGTAACAAGAGCAAAACTCCGTCTCAAAAAAAAAAAAATGATGAACTATGTATGACATGTGCAGTAAATTTTTCTTCTTATGGACTAATTATTGTGATCATCTTTCTGTCTTTGCAATCTCTTAAGTAGATAGACCATGATACATGTCACATTCTGGTTTAATTGTGTAATAAAATGGTGTTCTTTCTATGCTGTCATTGTGGAGTTACTCTGGAGCTGGAGAAAATTTTTCTTTTACTTACATTTTCCAAATACTGTCTAGAATTACTACATATGATATAAACATATAAGATGCCAACCAAACTTTATTTAAGAGGGCACTTTCCTGCTCAGGCTTTTAGTCAACACACAATTGTGCTATAAAGTGCATGCTGTCTCCTAAATATGCAGGCAGAATTGTGTCTCTGCCTGTTTGGTATCTATAGTCCTTTATAGTCACATCTAAAGAGGTTTGACCAGGCCAGGCATGGTGGCTCACACCTGTAATCCCAGTATTTTGGGAGGCTGAGGCCAGGATCACCTGAGGTCAAGAGTTCAAGACCAGCCTGGCCAACATAGTGAAACCCCATCTCTATTTAAAAAAAAAAAAAAAAAAAAAAAAAAGAGGCTTGGCCAGATTTCTACATACTTCACAGGGCAGCAATTAAGCATTTTACCTCTTTCAGTGACTCTTGTATCTTCAGACCAGAAACTGATTCAGAGACCATGGTTCCCAGAAACCCAATCAGAGTAACGTGTACATTAAGTAGACATGAGAATCTCCATTTTTTGCCTTCCTCTTCCTCCTTTCTTCTTTTTTTCTTTCTTTTCTTTTCTTTTTTGAGACGGAGTCTCACTCTGTCACTACCCAGGCTAGATTGCAGTAGCACAATCTTGACTGACTACAGCCTCCGCCTTCCAGGTTCAAACGATTGTCCTGCCTCAGCCTCCTGAGAAGCTGGGATTACTGGTGCACACCATCACACTCAGCTAATTTTCGTATATTTAGTGGAGGCACGGGGTTTTCTATGTTCGCCAGGCTGGTCTCAAACTCATGACCTCAGGTGATCCACCTGCCTCAGCCTCCCAAAGTGCTTGGATTATAGGAGTGAGCCACCACACCCAACCCCTTCCTACCCTTCTTAAAATACTCACAAATGTGCATATGGCACCTATTGCCACTACATCTATCCAGGACCTAAATTTGCAGCTCCAGCTTCTGAATCAGGGTCTTAAGATTTGGGAGAAAAGAAAACTTTTATCTGAGAAATACAAATTCTTTTAGTTATGAGGTTCAGAGACATTAAAATAATACCACAATTATGTATTTCTCTGTTCTTTCAGCTATGTATTTATCTCCCAAAGTGCTGGGTTTACAGATGTGAGCCACCGTGCCAGCCCCTTTTTTGTTTATAAATTATCAGCTTTCAGGTATTCCTTATGCATTTGTCTGTTCTTTGAGTGATTTATTTATGTCTTGAAAGTGCTTGCTATTGCCACAAGTAGCTATAAATTAATAATGACATGCTGGGCCCTGTAACACACACCATATAGCTTAACAATGTATATCCAATCAGTAAGCAATGGTTTTTTTTTGTAAATAAATGAGAATGTCTGACAGACAACTTTGTATCAGCCCACTCTCTGTCTCTTTTTGCTTTTACAAATCGTCTTGTAACTGCACTAATCAAAGTGTAGATTTCTGGCAACTTGAGTCTTTGATCCCAGGTTCCAATTCTCAATCTTGGCCCAAATAAACTCTCTACTTATATTCATGTAGCTTCAGCTTTTTCCTTTTAAGTAGACATATTATTTGGAATGTGCTAGAGCAGCCTCTATGAGGAGATCTCTTCTTTGGTTGGACTCAACTTGCAGGAACACCCAAGAATGTAGAGCCAGGCTGATCCAACCTAGAATCTGCACATACAGTCTGGCCTTTACCTGGATTTACAAGACAGGGCCACACTCCGAATTGAGAATGTACAGAAAACCAACAGGAGGCATTTTCTGCATTGTGAAATGTCAACATAGACATCTTAAAGCTTCCCTTTGAGAGCGAGACTATGTGAGCTTTTCATATCTTGTTCAGTGACCTGCTACAGTTATGTGAGAAGATCCAGGTGTAAGTAGAATCTGATGACAGATTCTGTAAGTGTGAACAAGCATCTTAGGGGTGAGGGATGAAGGCCACAAAGTATCCAGAGTCATGATCACAACTACTTCCACCCATAAAATGTACTACTGGAGTAGAGTATTTTTGTCTTTCCTTTTGCCCAAGAGCTAGCCAATCAGGACCTGTAACCTGGAGCTACACCGAGGCAGTTCTATTTTCTGTTTAGAATTGGCCTGAGTCTCTCCTGCCTGCCTTATCCTTGGGCCATCAGCCCAACTCACTGGGAACTCTCTCATAATCACCAAGGCATCTTTGAGACATTTGAGGATGTCCAGAGCAGAAATGCATCAGGTGGACAAGCGTGGTTAATGCTGCCTCTGTCTCAGTGTAAGAGAAAGGAGTTATCCTGTGTTTGTCCCTCCCCTCATTCAGGAGATGTCTTTAGTTGGTATCCATTTGAGACTTTCTCCAGTTTCCTAGTACTTGGTTGAAAAACAACTGGGAGGTCTGGAGACTCAAGCAGATAAACTAATTGCTAATTAATTCATATGGCCATTAGAAAAATAGATGAAGCAGTCATGGTCCCTACCATGAAGGAACTGTTAGTCTAAACTAGCAACTGTACACATGGTTGAATCAAGCATCATATGGTTGGCAAAATGAATAGATGTGTGAAAAAAAATGTGTGCTTTATTTGGGCCACTTTCTTTGGCGCAGTCTCGGCTTACTGCAGCCTCTGCCTCCTGGGTTCAGGCAATTCTCCTGCCTCAGCTTCCTGAGTAGCTGGGATTACAGGGGTGTGCTACCACTCCCAGCTGATTTTTGTATGATTAGTAAAGTCTGGGTTTCACCATGTCGGGCAGGCTGGTCTTGAACTCTTGACCACAGGTGATCCACCCGCCTCGGCCTTCCAAAGTGCTGGGATTACGTGCCTGAGCCACTGCACCCAGCCACACTTTCTTTATATTATTGTGACTTCTAAGGTCATCATTTGAATGAATGTTTATGGTCACAAGAGTTTTGTTTTTGGTTTGGGTTTTTTTTTTTTTTTTTTTTTTAAGACAGAGTCTTGCTCTGTCGCCCAGGCTGGAGTGCAGTGGCACGATCTTGGCTCACTGCAGCCTCTGCCTCCTGGGTTCCAATGATTCTCCTGCCTCAGCCTCCTGGGTAGCTCAGATTACAGGTTCACGCCACCATGCTTGGCTAATTTTTGAATTTTTAGTAGAGACGGGGTCTCACCATTTTGGCCAGGCTGGTCTCGAACGCCTGACCTCAGGTGATCCATCCAGCCTCCGAAAGTGCTGGGTTTACAGGCATAAGCCACTGCCCCCAGGCCACAAGAGCTAAATATTATTTTTAAATTTCTTTTACCTTGCTAAGAATACGTATTTATCTTATAATAAAATTATTATAGAAAACCCTAAGAAATTTGTTTAAATTGCTAATTGGTATATTTATAAAACTGATGGGCTGAACAGAGTACAGCTAGTGCTCGACTTATGACCACAATTGGTTCCGACAGACCGGTCGTAACACGATTTGGTCGTAAGTTGAGTAGGCTATATGCACGCGGAGATGGTAGTGCTGCTGGAAACTGGTCCGCACTGTCGTATGCCCAGCTGGGCAGCATTTGCGCTGCCAGACGCAGAGCAGTCGTGGCTAGCAATTGTCGTAAAGTCGAGTGGTCGTAAGTTGCATAGGTCGTAAGTCGATCAATACCTGTACTATATTGGATTTACTCCCTGCCCCAGTGCTGTTCAGATTCACTCTTGTTGGAGGCCTTATCTAGGTCTGGCCCCACCCTGGAATCTTGCCTCACAGAACTGATTCTTCGAGTTTTGGCTGGTACCTTTCTAGAGTGGGTACTAACAGTTTCCAAATTCCATAAGGAGATAAATGGAAAGAAAAAAGTATGTATTTTAAGGTCTTTTTAAAATTTTTTATTAAAACCAATGCTTTCAGAGACATTCCGTTTAGCAACTTGTTTTCTATTCCTGCAGATCCAGTAGTTTCTTTGCAAGTCACAAAGAAGTAAATACAAACACAATAAAAATTTCTCTAAACCACATTAAACTGTTCCTTCTGGCCGGGCGCGGTGGCTCAAGCCTGTAATCCCAGCACTTTGGGAGGCCGAGGCGGGTGGATCACGAGGTCAAGAGATCGAGACCATCCTGGTCAACATGGTGAAACCCCGTCTCTACTAAAAATACAAAAAATTAGCTGGGCATGGTGGTGCGTGCCTGTAATCCCAGCTACTCAGGAGGCTGAGGCAGGAGAATTGCCTGAACCCAGGAGGCGGAGTTTGTGGTGAGCTGAGATCGCGCCATTGCACTCCAGCCTGGCTAACAAGAGCGAAACTCCGTCTCAAAAAAACAAAACAAAACAAAAAAACCTGTTCCTTCTGTATCCCTTTTTTCTGTATCTGTCGGTATTTAGTTATTATCCTATACATTTTTTTTTAAATCCAGTACCAGCTAATGGCCACTTGGTAAATGTGAGTGTGTTTGTGTTTTTCAGGAACCACTGACATTTAAAGATGTGGCCATAGAATTCTCTCTGGAGGAGTGGCAATGCTTGGACAACGCACAGCGGGATTTATATAGGCATGTGTTGTTAGAGAACTACAGAAACCTGGTCTTCCTGGGTGAGGATAACTTCAATTCACAATTCCTAAAATACACTTAAGGTTTTATTTTTTTTTTATTTTTGTAGAATGTTTTCTGGTAATTCAGATTCCTGTTTTCAAGAAAATGTTTGAGATTTATTTATTTAGAAATGTAGTCTTGCTCTGTCACCCAGGCTGGAGTGCAGTGGTGCAATCTCAGCTCACTGTAACCTCCGTCTCCAGGGTTCAAGTGATTCTCCTGCCTCAGCCTTTCGAGTAGCTGGGACTTACAGGCATGTGCCACCACACCCTGCTAATTTTTTGCATTTTTAGTGGAGACATTTCACCGTGTTAGCCAGGATGGTCTGGATTTGCTGGCCTCGTGATTCGCCCGCCTCGGCCTCCCAAAGTGCTGGGATTACAGGTGTGACCCACTGCTGTCAACCGAAAATCTTTGAGATGTCTTTTTGCACAAAATCATTCCTTCAAGATGTTTCATTTTGACCTGAACTTTTCACATTCCTGAGCTAATCTGTATCTTTCACTCTAGATTAGTGATAATTCCAGAAATTTAGTGCCGTGAAATATTGTTACCCACCCCTTAAAATCTAATTCCCAACACCAATTTTTGATTCAATAGTACCAGATGGTAAAATTTAAAACCTACAAATTTAAAATATTTTCTAAATATTTAGAAATTTATGCTATAGATTAGTATTTATGTATCCTCTTTACTGAGTACATTACTAGGTTGGTAATTGGAGAATATGACTAAGATTCATGTTACTTATTTTCAATATAACAGGTATTGCTGTCTGTAAGCCATATCTGATCACCTGTCTGGAGCAAAAAAAAGAACCCTGGAATATGAAGAGACGTGAGATGGTAGCCAAAACCCCAGGTAGGTGAGATAGTGGATACAACAGATGACACAAACGAAAGGTCAAAGGAAAAGCCAGTCCTTAAAATGTGATTTGGGAAGCTGTGTTCCAAAGGAAATAGTTTCTGGAAAGCCTGAGCCTTTTTTTTCTTTTGCTCTCACAGAGCTGCATCTTCTGTCTTACGCTTTTAAATTCTCTAAGGATTCTATTTTTCTCTTCAGTGATCTTCCTTCAAGTTCACAGTGAGAGCCAAAGTCCTCTTCATGCATATAAGAGGCACAACCTGACTTTTTTTTGTTTTGGGGACACAAATATCTGCATAATTTTGAAAACCGGCCGGGCGCGTTGGCTCAAGCCTGTAATCCCAGCACTTTGGGAGGCAGAGGCGGGTGGATCACGAGGTCAAGAGATCGAGACCATCCTGGTCAACATGGTGAAACCCCGTCTCTACCAAAAATACAAAAAATTAGCTGGGCATGGTGGTGCGTGCCTGTAATCCCAGCTACTCAGGAGGCTGAGGCAAGAGAATTGCCTGAACCCAGGAGGCGGAGGTTGCGGTGAGCTGAGATCGCGCCATTGCACTCCAGCCTGCGTAACATGAGTGAAACTCCGTCTCAAAAAAAAAAAAAAAAAAAAAAACTCTGTTAAACTGTTCTTTAAGTTCTTTTTTGCGTCATGTCTGAAATGTGTGAGTAGTGTTTTCTGTTTCATTTTTTGTTTGTTCATTTTTCTGCACATTCCATTCTGTTTTTATTACTATAGTCTTGAAATACAGTTTGAAATTATAAACTATGATGTTCTTTGTTTTTTTTTTTTTTACTTAAAATTGCTTTGGCTATTCCAATTTATTGTAGTTTCATGTAAATTTTAGAATTGTATTTTTCATTACTGTGAAAATAATGCCACTGGAATTTCAATAGGGAGTTTATTGAATTTATAGATCACTTTGGAAAACATGGCACTTTATCAATATTTATTATTTCAATCCATATACATAAAATATTTTAAAATTTGTGTCTTCTCTGATTTATTGTAAAATTTTTTTTACCTCCTTGGTTTAATTTGTTCTCAAGAATAATTATTTTAATGCTATTATAAATAATATTTTCTTCCTCTTTTTTATCAGATAGTTTGTTTTGAGTGGATGAAACCATAATTTATACTTGTATGTTAATTTTATATTTTGGAAATTTACTGAGTATATTTACCACTTTTGATGGGTTTTAATGTACTGTTTTTGGTTTTGTATATATAAGATTATATAATCTACAACCAGCAACTTTTTACTTGTCTTCAATTTCAATGACTTAAAAAAAATTTTTAATTCTTTTGCCACATACTGTCAGTGCTATGTTAAAATAAAAGCATTGACAATGGGCACAATACAGTTTTGCACTGGTATCTGTGATTTTGAAAGAGCAAAAACCCCTTCAAGTTTTTATAAACTGATTTAAGGATGTAAAGATCTTCTTTTGTAGAGCCCTCAGGGTGATGGGATGCCCTCTGGGTTTGTAGTAGAGAGGGGTGTAGCTTAGTCACAAGGTTACTGTGTCTGCACTAGGGTCTGCCTTTATTGGCCTGTTATAAGAAGCTTAGGTAGTTGTAATTCCCATTTTATTTTCGGATAGACGGATGTCCTTCAGGACGTTGCTCTGTAGGACAGATATTAGGACATGTTTTTGCAGTTAGGTCTGAGTATCATGGGCCTTATATCAGGATGTGGATGAATATGGCTTTTACTGAGTACCGGAGAAGATTTCTCTAGGTCACTGTATGGATTTCTGTGTAGGCAGAACTGACAGTAAAGTGTGGATCAGGGAGTTGGAACTGAGTCACTGAACTGCTTCAGGGACCACAGTAATGGCCAAAGTCTGCAGGCCTGCCTACATGGCTGTAAATGTGTGTCTTTCTCCAGGCCTCTGGAAAGACTGGACCTCTCGCAGACTGTTGCTGGGAGAAGTTTGGGATGATTACAGAGTAAGTTCAGAATTCTTAGTGGGACCAAGTTGGGTGGGCCATTTCCTGGTCTGTAGCCCACTCCAGGGGTCTTGTAATTTGCCTCCTGAATGAGGGCCTGCCTTCTGAAAAGGAACACTTCTCAATCTTTGCCTCTAGCAGAGTTTCACAACTCCCTCCCTGGATCTCAAAGCTCTGTTACAGGTACTTATTTTTAAGATGGGTTCTTGCTTTCCAACCTACGCTGGTCTTTAAATCCTGGCCTGAAGCAATTCTCCAACCTGAATGTACCATGTAAAACTGTCATTATAGCTGTGATCCATGATGCCTGGCTTTCTTGTAAACACATTTTTTGGTCAGGGATGGCTGATAAATATTTTTGCTGTTGGGGTATAAGAAAATAGGGCACCTTTTATTTTTCCATCCTACTGAAATCACTCTGTACATTTTTGCTTTTTATTTTCTATTTCAAATTTGCCTGTAGTTTTAAATTCAGACATTTAGGACAATGTGCTAGAATTTACAGGTTATGCTTTAAGTAAATTAGATAATTAGTAGGCACTTACAAATTTGAGTTAGCTGTCGGTATAAACAAATTATAGTATTTTCACCCACTTTCTTTAGCCTGTATCTAAATAATCTAATGTATTCTCAAAAACTTTCATGTATCAGAGGCTCTAACCATATTTTGCCATATTATGCACACACACATACACACACACACACACACACACACACATATACATGCACATATAAATATATATTACATATATAAATATATATACACACACATTCACATATATTTTTTCTTTAGCAATGTAAGGGTATTGTTTGCTTCTAAAGTTGGGTTACAGAATTTTCATTTTGTGTAATAATAGCATATATTTTAAATATCAAAATTATCTCCACTTTTAAAAAATGCTCATTTATTAAAATTTCCTCATTAGCATCTTCTGTTTACGATTACGCTTCATTTTCTCTGAAATTTTACTGCTACCTAGCAGATGTGAATGATTTTAAATACCTGCCTTCCATGAGTACATACCTAGTTAAATACTGCAATTACCTAGACAGATTCTTTCTTAAAGGTACGTAAATATTGCAAACCAGATTTCATGAATAAACATTTCTGATATTGTTTTGTAATTCCATATTAGCGTGGTTTTTCAATGTAGGTTTCTTAACATCAGATTATTGTGTTTTACTTGTGTATTATAATTGCAGTTCCATTTGTACACTTTAAGTCAATGTGGGTTTTAAAAAATAAATTAGCCATATGTCTGTTACGATCAGATTATATATGTGTGTGTTTTTATTTACAAATATGACCCCAATTTTGGTTATGGCTTATCTTGTTTATATTCTTTCTTAGCTGATTTTCAATGGTTGTTTTATCTTGTCTAAGTAAGTAGTTATGGAAATCATCTTTTCACTGTGTGTTTAATGATGAATTTGTATTTCCTTTGTGTGAGAGAAACACTTTTATGATTTGAAGGTAACTTTTGAAAAGATTTATTATTATATATTTTTTTCAGTTTTTCTTTAAAATATTAATTGTTGTAAAACCCCATAACATAAAATTTACAGTTTAAATCTATTGAATTGTATATTTCAAGGCCAGGCATGGTGGTGGCTTACATCTGCAATCCCAGGATTTTGGAAAGCCAAGACAAAAGGATCACTTGAGCCGAAAAGTTTGAGAACAACCTGGAAAACATTGAGATTCTCTCTGTCTCTCTCTCTCTTTTTTTTTTTTTTTTTTTGAGATGGAATCTCACCTGGAGTGCAGTGGCATGATCTTGGCTCACTGCAACCTCCACCTCCTGGGTTCAAGCAATTCTCCTGCCTCAGCCTCCCAACTAGCTGGGATTACAGGCACGTACCACCATGCCAGGCTAATTTTTGTATTTTTAGTAGAGATAGGGTTTCCCCATGTTGGTCAGGCTGGTCTCAATCTCCTGACCTCCTGATCTGCCCACCTTAGCTTCCCAAAGTTCTGGGATTACAGGCATGAGCCACCACACTGGGCATGAAGATTCCTTCTCTACAGTTTTTTTTTTTTCTTTCTTTAGACAGAGTCTCACTGTGTCACCCAGGCTGGAGTGCAGTGGAATGATCTTGGTTCACTGCAACCTCCGCCTCCCAAGTTCAAGCAATTCTCCTGCCTCAGCCTCCTAAGTAGCTGGGATTACAGGCGTGCACCACCATGCCTGGCTAAGTGTTGTATTTTTAGTAGAAGCAGGGTTTCATCATGCTGGGCAGGCTGGCCTTGAACTCCTGACCTCTTGATCCATCCGCCTTGGCCTCCCGCCTCTACTAAAAATACAAAATTAGCTGGGCATGGTGGTGTGTGCCTGTAATCCCAGCTACTGGGAGGGTGAGGCAGGAGAATTGCTTGAACTTGGGAGGTGGAAGTTGCAGTGAGCCAGGATCATGCCACTAGACTTCAGGCTGGATGAAAAAAAAAATAGCCAGGCATGGTGGTGTGTGGTCCCAGCTCTTTGGGAGATTAAGAGGGGAGGATTATTTGAGCCAGAAAGTTAGTGGCTACAGTGAGTGATAATTGTGCCACTGTACTCCAGCTTGGGTGACAGAGTGAGATCTGGTCTCAAAAAAAAAATTGTGCTGTTCATTTCAGGCATGTTAAGTATACTCACATTGTTATGCAAAAAACTTGTAGAAATTTTACATCTTGGGAAACTAAAATTCGATACCCATTAAGTAATAACTGCTCATTTTACCCTTTTTCCAGCCCTTGACAAACACCCTTCCACTTAAGTTATCTCATACAAATGGAATCATATAGTATCCATCATTTTTTACTGGCTTATTTCAGGTGACATAATATTCTCAAAGAAGTTTATCTTAAAATGTGACAAGATTTTTTTAAAAGGCTAAGTAAAATTTCATTGTATGTATATGTTATATTTTTTGATGTGTTTATAAATAAAGGAACACCTGGGTTGCTTCAGCCATTTGGCTTTTGTGAATACTGGTACAATAAACATAGATGTTCAAATATGTCTTTCAGGTCCTCTGTGGCATATTTTGGATATGGGATTTA